TCTCAATAGCATGATAAATTTGATTATAAAAAGTATCGACAGCAGAGTTTATATCATCCATATCAACAAAAGAGTCCCAATCCACACAAGACAGATAAACATTTAAATCCCTAAAATTACAATTCTTATAATCCAGAAAACAATAATCATACTCCAACTTATCAGAATTATTATCTGAAATTAATACATCAAAAACCAAAGCAGGATGAGGTGTGTCCAAATTCAAAAGTGGATCGGCTGATATTGAGGTACATACATCCTTATTACTACAAAATATCAAATCCAGAAAGTTCCCATAAATATTAGAAATATTATTCACTTGATATAAGCTATGGAAAGCCATGCAGTCAGCCAACTCTGTGGTTTGTTCAGATTGTTTACCAATAGCCCTAGTCCCATGCAAATCATTGATCCAGGACACATCCGGTCTATTAAAATCTCCACATAAATAGATTTCCAAGTTTTGACAACTACTACATATTTCCAACGCAGCTGTTACGGATGAGCAGTAACTTTCATAGGAGTCTATAGGAGAATCTGGGGGCAGATAAGCATTGCCCAACAAAATATGATGCTCTTTCAAAGAAACCAGTACAAAAATGTGCTCCACTGATTCAAATTGAGTAGATATCTGTCTACAATTAAGAGACTTCCTTAAAGATATTAGTTTTCTTTTAATTGTTCTCCTGAAAACTTGTAAAAAACGAGATAGGGCCTTATGTCCTGAAACCGACGATATGTTCCGTTCCACCTGAAATTAACAATGAATTACATATTCTCCATTGTCCTAGAGCAAATATGGTCAGAAATTATATCCGTAGAACAACGGTAGAACCTCCAAAAGTGCGAAGGGGTAAAGATACACCAAGTTGGCCCTGGAAAAAACCAATTGGAGATGTCCAAAACGCTAAGAGAACAGTATACGGTGGTGCCGTTTTCTATGGCATCCAAAGATCCTTGTGGATCTTTGGAGTCTTATTGTTAAGACTCTTTGTATTTGGAACAAAAGGGAAAGGTATATTGTCGATAGGAGGATAAGGCGGTGGAGAAATATATGAATGAAGTAGAAGAAGAACTGTCAACTGTGCTGAACACCATGCAGAAATGGAGATATGGATTACTTACAAAAAAAATAGGTTTATTATTTTATTTTCTGCTCCTTTTACCATTTTTATCAAACATTATCCATTCACCACTAAGTAATACTTTTGTTGCATCTACCATATTTCTCATGCAAATCAGTTCAATCAATCAATCTTTACATATACGTTACATATGTTCCAGTCGCCTCAGAATTATTACTTGGTGAGTGCATAAGAAAATAGAGGTGACTATTTCAGTTGCCTAAAAAATAGGGTAACTGGAACCGTTGACACAAAAAAATTGGAACATTTAACCAGAACAAAGTGAAACGCTGAACCAGAACAAACCACCACGTAGGTGCACGCAATTCTTGAGATTTTAATGAAAATGACCAAAAATACGTTAAAAGTGGGGTTGGAGGTTATAGAAATTTACAAATACTTCCATGTATTTCCAAATTATTCCCATGTACTTCGAGAGTATTCACATATACTTCCAGCATATTTTCAAGTATTCCTAGGTATTTCCAGAGTATTACCCAGTATTCCTAGGTATTCCCAAAGTATTCCCTGTAAAGTGTACAGTGATTTCCCTTCGAAGTAGGAAGACACAATTTTCTCTACATTTGCTTGACGGTCTGCTACAAGGACATTCGTGTTCAATAATTATAAATCAACGACTTAGAAAAATACATTTCTCTTATATGCGGTTGGCTGCGTTGGCTAGTGTGTCATTCCCTACAGGAAGATCTCTCGAGTGTGTGATGCACCTAACTCAACTTTGAATTGATTTTCAAGCGTCACTTTTTTTGTTTATCGTTTTAGGTCTCCTATGATTTATGTTTCTACCTCGATTTCTTGTTCGATTGATAGTCGTAAAATTGAAAAAGGTTATTACTACCAGTGAGTTGATTTTGGTCTCCGTTTTGGTACCATTATTTCCTGGTGCTATAGAAATCAGAAATTCCTTTTGAGATATCCTAGAGATTGCTGAGAGAGTGATCAACGTTCTGCACCAAGGGCTAGCCAAGAATTAAACGCACATATAATTATTATCATTGAGTTCCAAAAATTTAAATCCTGCTTGCCCTAAAGCTGAAAAATAAATCTCGAGCTAAATCTTCATATAGATAGGCATCTCGCTAGTAGACTTGCTCTGCTAGAAGGTATTTGTTTACAATACGGTACTACCAACAGAAACAATACAACAATAGCATAATTTGAAGAAAAAAAAAATATAGAAAATAGGTGAAGATTAGCATGCTTTTCAATACCCTATTTTCTGTACCTTTGGGTCCTTCTCATTTGTGTATCGCTTATCGGGTGGGATTTTTTTTCCAATAATTTGGACCAGTTATATTATAATTGCTTTTCATTAGAATCATCGTCAGGTATCTATTTTGTTGTTGACACATAATTTATTTAAAATTGAGGCAAACATTGTCCTAGTCATAAAAACTAGAGTAAAAAACCCCAGACGTGATATAAAACTTTGTACATGTACTCAATATTGTTTGTTAAATAATATTTGTGAAAATAATATTATAGGTAATTATACATACATAATTATATAAATAAATTAATGCAGGAAAATATTATTTGGAATGGTTTAGGTAAATGAGACCTGTGACCTGAACTTCATCCACTACAAAAGAATAATTTTCAATGGGTTCAGGGAAAACATGTGGTGCAAGAGCAACTATTAACAACTACTTACATACATGATGCTCTTAACATCAACAGACCACCTAATGTTTTAAACTGCATTATGTATTGGTTGACCACTGAGAGAAAAGCTTTTCGGTCTGAGACGTAGGGGAAGGTGAAAAACGATGTAGAAATACATTGTTGCAATAGAATAGAGGTTGATACACAGGCTTTAGCTTTGTTTTGAGGGATTTGTTAAGCAGAGTTGTAATTTATAATTTTTGAGTCTAGGGCAGAGGACTACTGAAATCTTTTTATGCTTAAAAAAAAGTGCTTGGAAGCCGCCCTGAATAAATCGATGGAAACTATAAAAATTATAAATTACTTTGTTTCACACTCGGTTTCACATTAATATATTTAGAGGATTTCGTGTTATGTAAAATTATTTTGATACTTTCTATTTGCTGTGATAAAGTTTAGTAGACCCATCACGAGATTGTGTACATACATGATTGAATAATGATTACTTAAATCTTCAAATATGCATGTTAATCCTTGATCTAAAACATCAAGAAAGTCTTGCATAAACAAATTCTAATTCCAACGTTTAAAATATGGAAATACCATTTCACCAACATTTTTGTTACTGTCAAAATCGAGGTCAAAATATTCTTGATATAATGGCGAATTTCGTGTAAAGTATGAAATATACTACCGTTGATTATACATGCTTTGTTACTAGATAAATGGCTACTTGTGAAATTACGCTACTATTAAATAATTGCTAGTTTATTGATGGGTTTATCTATTATTGAATATTTAATTAATAACGATTTCCTCAAACAATGGACATTCCTATAAATACAAAATTCAAATAAACTTTTGGTAGATGTACCTAAAGTATGCCTATTTTTTGGCTCGTGAATTGTTGAATAAAGCAATAGGGCCAGTCCCACAATATAAAATAATTAAACCAAGCGCAAAACACACTTAACTTGATTGGATTCCGTCAAGGTTTCGAGCTGAGCGTGGCTGTGCGCAATTTCATGCCGTTCAATTTAGCCTTGACATTGAACCTGGTAACTGCCTACCTACCCAGCTTTTTTATGCTTCAAGGTAGACAACAATGTTGGCATAGGCCATGAATAATTTTAATTTAAACGGAATGATAATTTTGTATCTATCCGTTTTTATAGAAACAGTATTAAATGCAATGCAATGTTGTTGTTTTTATCTTATAGAACATTTTCTGCATAAGATGTGCAATAAGGCGTAATTAGTCACATTCTAGCTAGAGCTATCAGTTTTTGTATGCAATTGAAAGAAAAATGCATATTATGTGACTTAACGCAATGATTCATTTTAGCGAATTCAGTATTGAAAGTGCAGTTCCACATTGTATAAGTAATCTCAATTAATTTTCAGACAAACAATCCTCCTTTTGTCACGTGACTCTGTAAAATTAATTAAGTTAAAGTGCAGGAAACATTGTTTTTTAAGATTTTATGTATTTTTTTTTTCTGTTTTTGCTTTTTAGCTGTGTCAAGATGAATTTTGATGAAACATTTTTTGGAATACATATATTGCTTGTAGTTTGGAAACTTATTTACTTTTTGAAATCATACAAATGACTTATGTCTTGATTGTGTTGTGGCAACAAAGTTTGACTATAACAAAATATGGAATCTGGATGAGAATACAGTAGAAATGGTTCAAATCCTCACAGAAGGTTTAAGTATTTTGATTCAGCAGATTCTTTGTTAGTTTTTTAAAATTAAGTACCTATGGGTTTTACTGCAAGTCTGGGACCCCTGCTATCCAAAAGCTTTGATAAATTGCATTCTGCTAATAATTACGGATGTACCTCCTTCATAATGCTTTTTCTAAGTAATGTCCGCAAAAAATTTTTTGGAACACACACAATAGGTGTTAACTCAAGCTAGGGGACACAGGGCACCTGACAACTGGCCAATTTCTACCTAAGGTTGCTTTAAATAGGTCATATTAGGTAACAAAATACAAGACTTTCAGTCTAATGTACCAGAAAAATCTATGAATTATAAAGATATTAAAAAATGTTGAAGTTTAAAGCTTTTTCAAAACATGTTTCCCATTAACAATAATAACATTCTGAAAATTATATCAATTTTACACCCACATACATTTATGTTAGATATAAAATATAATAATTCTCAATACGTCCCTGTGCCTTTTTTTATTTAAAGCTATGATCAGCAAGGCAAAATCACACCATTGCTAAAACTATAAACACAAAACTGCAAATGTTTATATAAATCAAAAAGTGATGTTTAATCTCGGGACTGGTTGGCTAATGCCGGCTCTACTACAGCACCAGTATCTATTCCTGCTGGACACGAGAGCAGTCAAGTAAACTGCATGCGAACTTATTTCTTCACTTCAGTAAACATTTGATAATCGCGGTTCGAACACACGATCGGGAGATTTCTTCTCTTTCGCGAACTATCATTTTTGATAAACTGCAGTAGGTTAGGTAATGTGCGGCCATAGATTTGTGATACTAAATTTGCGTTTCTTCAACTTACGAACAAGGCTTGTGATTTTAAACATTGTGTGATTTTTTTAGACTGATAAAATGGATAGTTGGATGCAAGATATGGTAAGCAATGAAAGAGCTTTTTTTCTGTAAAGAAAATACATTACTTAAACTTCAACCAAATGGAGAAAAAACTAACTTTTTTATTTGAAAACAAAAGTATGTAGATGCCTAGGGGGGTTATTCTTAATTTAGCAAAATGCGCTTTTTTTTTCACAAAATGTTGCCAAAAACAATAAGCTTGGAGGTGAAGAAAAAAATAGACAATCGAAATATATGAATACATGCATAGGTAATACCTTACAGATTGTATATTTATATGTTTAGTTATATACCTATCTTCTAATTTAATTAAGTCTATTGGGATTATTAGTTTTGAAAACATGACATAATCCACCAGTTTTGAGCATTAAAATATGTATGTATCTTGACTATCTTGGCTTTTTGAGATGTTGACCTACCTTAACATTTTCTAATTTCAGTGACATAAATATTTTCACAACTAACAACAGTGATTTGGACGCGATAGGTATTGTAGTTAATTTTGTTGTTTCGCTTCAGGGATTGTGACACTTAACATTTTGTTGCACTGCAAATAATATTAGAATGCCTTTAACTATGTTTTTGGCAGGCGCTTTTTTAAACACTCAAAATATACTAATATCTATGATAAAATAGCTAATAAGGATTATGATGATTATTTGAAATAATTATCATACCTACAGGGTATCTTAGAAGTCAGTAGGTACCCTAAATAAAAAGGCAAAGTTCATAAGGCTTATTTTTTCTTAGACTGGGTTAAATCCTAACTTTTATTTTTGTTTAAATTCTCCTGAATTATTCTACAAGTCATCTATAATTATTACCTACTTCTTATTGTTATTTTGAAAAATATGAAATTAATAGTTTATCTGGGGTGTTTTGATCAGGAGTGCACTAGGAAAAAATGTAATACGGTACACGTTAATAAACTAAATTCTCGAATATTTATTTCAAATACTGTGCTGATTGAACAAAAGGCAAAAATATACCAATAAAGATTTCTGAAGTAGAAAATACGTATTGACAATTCCTTTAACACCTTTTGTTTCTCAATTGGTCATGGACCGGTGTCATTGGGTGTTTTCTACCGAAGTAGAGGGTGCTTTGGTGTCTTAATGGTTACAATCTCCCCTTTTGGAGTTTCCCTACATCTCCGGTATACTCCAAGTCATTTTTTGATGTATGATCGTCACATAAACAAGTTGGAGCTTTAATGCGGCGTCTGGGTCGTCCATATAATCTGGGCCCATCGTCATTTTCATTTTTTTCTTCGTTAGAACTCTCATTGTCATCAGCACACACACTGTGGTTTTCTGAGGAATGGCCTCGTCACCTTCGGGTATATTATCAGTTCCAATAAGGCGTCTTCCATGTGGGCGTATAGGTCGTACTGGTGTTGGAACTTCTCCTTTTCCTACATAAGGTGCCATAGCTGACGTATGTAATTTGATGGTGGGACCTTCAGTTGGCTCTATAGGTTTAACTTCAATTGTTGTTGGAGTGACAACCTTAGTAACTTCATATGGACCATAGGCATCCGACCTGTTTCTTCCAGTCTAAAGTTTTGTTTCAATTATTTCAATTTTCTACAATCTCCTATGATTTGGCCATAATTTTTGCAATAAACACATTTCAATGAAGACTTCTTCCCTTCTGTTTTAGCTTCATTAAGGGGGCACGATTTAACTGAATCGAGAGTTTTCTTTTCCAGTAGAGTGATTTCTGCAGTTCGAGCATTTTGAATAAGCTCATTGAAATTATCAACATTCTCTCGAGGAACTATCTTTCTAATATTGTAGTTCAATAGACCATAAACCATATCTGACGAATTGCAATAACCTGGTGATTAATTGGAAATTTGGAGAAAATGGCTCGACATCGGTTACAAAAATTTCAGTTTTCTCTTCATAACCTTATTCGTTAGAAAATAACTCACGATATAGTTGATGTGGAAGTTTTTTGTGTCCAAAAACATTTCGTTATGGACATAGACCCAAGGAATAGGGAACAGCATATAACTTTTTTAATATATAAGTTGAAAATTTGAAATTTGGGGAGCTTAAACGAGGCAACTTGCTGAGTTTTTTAGAAGTAAATTGCGTTACCAGTCACTTCCGGTCAAACCGGAAGTGGCCCTAACTTTTGATTTTCAAATGGGACTCCCGCTATTTTTTGAGTTTTCTGGCATCAGCAGATCATTTTACGTATGATAGGACCATTTTTGAAAATTTTATAAAAAAAACCAGAAAAAAAAATTGCAATTAAAAATAAAGATTTTTCAAAAGTTGTTGGGTTATTTCTCAGCGGATTTTGAAAATGTTGATATCAAAAAATAGGGAAAAAAATCTAGTTTCAGAAAATTGATAGGTCCCGGCGTGGTTACATTTGAAAAATATGGAATACTTTGAAAAAACCTCTTTGCTTAATTTTGATCTGAAATTATGTCGTCAAGTTAGGAAAAAATTGAAGTTACAGATTTTCAACTAAATCAATTTACACCCGTGGCTGCGCCGAATTTTTTTTTCTAAAAATTAATCCAATTTATTTTTTTTTGTTGAAAATTTTCCAAAAATGGTCCTATCATACTTAAAATGATCTGCTGATGCCAGAAAACCTAAAAAATACCGGGTGTCCTATTTGAAAATCAAAAGTTATGGCCACTTCCGGTTAAACCGGAAGTGACTGGTGACTCAATTTACTTCTAAAAAACTCAAAAAGTTGTCTCGTTTAAGCTCCCCAAATTTCAAATTTGCAACTTATATATTAAAAAAGTTATAGGTTGTTCCTTATTCCTTGTGTCACCTTGTATACCAGCATCAAATATAACAACACTGGATTTTACTCCTTGCCACCATATTGCAGCTTGACCTTCTAGAAGCATAGGAAAACCCTTGAGAGCATTATTTTCAGAAACATTCACGCAGTCTTTATAAATAGGAATGGTATCAATAAACGTATTCTTCGTATTCACATCACTGCTCGCTCTGAATTATTTAAATTGGCATTTTGGTTTATAGTAAGGTTCTGTATAAGAGTTTGTAACATTTCTGGCGTTACACACTTTTGTACCTACTTGTTGAATAACGTCATTATCATGATTGTCTGTTATTTTCCATTTCATTAGATTCAGTGCTTTTCGACATCCAACCTGAACGTAAGTGCATGAAATTAGTGTCCTTGGTGAAGCTGGTGAGATGGATTATGACCACAATCGCAAAACTCACAGGAAAACTTCACAAATCTATCTAATCAACAAGAGTACAGTCAAAATAAACTTGCTTTTTAACTTGCCCCACGTTGGGCGCCACTTTAACTGGGGTGTTTTGATCAGGAGTGCACTGGGAAAAAATGTAATACGGTACACGTTGATTAACTAAATTCCCGAATATTTATTTTAAATACTGTATCGAGTACTGTATGTACTGATTGAACAAAAGGCAAAAATATAGCAATAAAGATTTCTGAAGTAGAAAATACGTGTTGACAACGCTTACGCTTTCTATGACAATTCATTCCTTTTACAACTTTTTTTTTCGACTGGTCATGGACCTGTATCATTGGGTGTTTTCTACCGAGGTAGAGAGTGCTTTGCTGTCTTAATGGTTACAATAGAATTTTTTTTTGAATTGATATTTTTTATCAAGTATATTTTTGCTTTAATCTTAATAGTTTTTTTTTATTGGGATGAGATGACAAATTCATGGCAATTAATTACAGTAAAGAAAAATGCGACTATACGTAATTGATTTGAAATTGAATCGGAAATATAAAATTTCTATTGCAATTTTAAGGATGACCAACATCTGTAGGGTTTGACATGATGGATGCAAAAATGATTTCAAGTCTAGGATATTTTCAGTTACAATTAAAGGAAGTTTAATTGACTGATAATACTTCTACAGTCGAACAATAAAAGAAAAACATCAAAATGCATAATTTTTAATCTAGTTATTATACTCAAAATGTAATCTTGAAAATATTGCTTGCTTTTTGATTAAAAACAAGCCTAATTTAATAAATATTAACCTTGGGCGTTACACACTTTTGTACCAAAAAATTTTAGCTTTCGACAAAATTTCCAAACTTTTGATTATTTCAACAATTAATTTATAAGATAGCATGGTAAAATAGCTATTTATACAATAAGTTACGAAATGAGCGTCTTTTAGGCACGCGACGTGAAAATTGTCCAACGAGGCAAAGCCGAGTTGGACAACACGTCGAGTGACTAAAAGACATCGTTTCGTAACGTATTGTATACAAGATTTTTTCTACTGGCATTTTATAATAAAAAAATACAATTTTATTTCATGTGAATAAGTCGATTACACCCAAAATCTTTGTTACCTGCTTTTACTTGCCACCTGACACTTTTCATGCGATTTTCTTTTGAAAATTCGACATCAATAATTAAAATCCTAGAAAGTAGGTAATAACACAAAGTTCTGTTTTGAGTAACCCAAACGTTCAATTCAGTAATTCCATTTTCAATATTCATAATAAATACAAAACAAAATTCAAATATGTGTTTAGTGTGTTTTTTATTTCTGAATAATGAATGACACTTTTAAGCACTAGTGCTTAAAAATTACTTTTACGCACTCATAAGTCACTTTTACGCATTCAAAAGTCACTTTTACGCACTGAGTGCCTAAAAGTAACTTTCACGCACTCAGTGCCTAAAAGAATGTCGTTTCAAAACTGAAATGACAATCGAAAAGTTGCTATTATGAAACGTCAGTAGAAAAAGTATTTTGTATACCGATCAACCAGCATTTTTTGTAATATGGTTTGCTACTTTTAGGTTTTAAGTACATATTTGGATAAGTGAAAAATTTCAACTCTATATAAATTTATGAAATTTAATTACATAACTCCAGCGTTAATCTCATCAGCATATTTTGGGTAATGTAGATACGTACATACAGTAGATTCTCTAATAGCCTATGTAAGGATTATGGTGAAACTTGACAATACCTATACTCTCATTGAAATAAGCATTTATCATCGTGTAATCTTGT